ATTTATTTGTGTTTTATTATTTGTTGTATGTGTAGCATTTGTTTTGTTTTTAAATGAAATGAATACATTTTTTAAATAAAATAATAAAATAAATTTTGTTGGGATGATTGATTTTGGTTGTTTTGGTTTGGGTGGTTGGTTTGAGTTGTTTTGATTGGGATAGTTGGGCAGGGGGTGACTGTTTTGGTTGGAATATGATGACTTGCTTTTATTTACCATTATTTTACCAGGCAAGTCCCATTGAGATCTTAGATCTCTTTTTCAACTTGGTTACTTACTTGCTTTAGGCTGTGTTACTTTCTGGGGGATAGGTCTGTTAGGATTGTTGGATTTGTTTAATTTGTATAGTTGTTTTGGGTCATTTTGTTTTGTTGGAAAGGGTTGGGTTGGTTTTGTTTGTTTGGTGTGACTGAATGGGATGGTTGATAGGTTCTAGCATTGGTTTACTGTAAAATCTTCAGATCTCTGAAAACCTTACAGATCACATCTTACTCAAATGTATTAATTACATTTATTTATATATGAATAAAACTAATGTTAAATTTAGTTACAAAATCCATCCCACAAATTGTCCTGTTCTCACTTCTACATTTAGAAAACATACAAGCCTAGACTCTAATTTCAGTTTCCAGGACTGTATGTGAAACACTATGTTTTCATGTTCCCTCTGGTTGTCTGCAGAAACTTCAAGAGGTGGCGTTTCCTCGCAAAGAGGAGCTGAAGAGGCGTCTTCAGGAAAAATATAGCAGGCAGCACATCGAGTACCTCAGAGCCCAGGTTGGTGAGGGTCAGGTAGGTGTGGGTTGGTGTATGTGTGTGATCCAATTAAATTGCATCTTGAGTTTGACGGGCAGGTGATTTATCTGATAATCAGATTAGTTGACAGATTTATTGTCAGATTTAAACACAGAGCTTCAAACAGGCAGCTGTTAGCCATTTGGTTCCACCTGCTGCGGAGAGATTACTCACTATAGAGCTGTGGCATATTAGTAGTGGAGTACTGATAGTGGAGTATTGATAGTGGAGTACTGATAGTAGTGTATTGATTGTGGATTACTAATAGTGGAGTATTGATAGAGTGGTATTGATTTTGGAGTACTGATAGTGGAGTATTGATTGTGGACTACTGTTTGTAGAGTATTGATAGTGGAGTATTGGTAATAGACAACTGGTGGTAGAGTATTGGTTGTAGAGTATTGTTAAAGGAATATTGATTTTAAAGTTTTGGTAGTGGAGTACTGGTAATGGAATACTGATTTTAGAGTATTGGTAGAGGAGTATTCGTTGTGAAGTATTGCTTATGGAGTGTTGTTAGTGATGTATTGGCAGTGGAGTATTTTGGAGTATTAATAGGAGAGTATTGGTAGAGGGGTATTGATAGTGGAGTATTTACTGATGCAGGATGGGTATCATTCAGTGGAATGGCCTCTACACGGTGAGTACATATATGTGTTTAATATGAAGGTCAAATATTGTTAATAAAACCGTTGTTACTAATGAGAGGCCCTTTAGAGACATACTTTAGATTGACCCTTTAGAGGTCCATCTTGGCCCATCTAGACTGATCTTTCTACTGTTTCCTCAGAACCAGGAGGTGGTGGTGGACGGATGTGGCCAGCAGCTGCAGCGCCTGTCTCTACTGGACGAGGACAGGAAGCACCTCTCACAATTAGACAAAGATCGGCAGTGCCTCCAGCTGGAGGAGGAGAAGCAGCGAGTTGCAGCACTACGGCGACTTCAGATCGAGTCAGAACAGTTTCGTTACTTCGAGGACCAGCTGAAACGCCAGGAGATGGCCAATAAAAAAGGAGAGGAGGCAGGGCTAAAGGTAATAAACTCCTGCAGACACGTCCTCGGGCTTTTCAGTAGCTCTGACGTTGATTAATGGGTTTGGTTTTTCCTACAGGTGGAGACCAAAGTACCTGAGGTCATAGATGGTTCCTGTTTGTCTCAACAGTCAATCAGGGGTGGCATGCAACGTCAGGGTGCGGACCTAAACAGAAACCGGCCTCCTGCTGCCTTCAGCCAATCAGCTGCCTCTCTGGCAGGAGTACACAGTGAGTACACACAAATTCCGATGAGTCTAGTGGCATTTTTGAATTGTAAGGCCCAGCCCCAGTCAACCTAACCTTTTACTACCTTGGCCCTGGTTGTGTTAGCTTAAGCAGAGAGCTGCCTTGATGTGGGCGGGATCATAATATTAATAACAACCAAATCTTATTTTGTTTTATTTGTGACACAACAATAATAAATGGTAAATGGCTTGAACTTATATAGCACCTTATCAAGTCCACTTGGACCCCAAGGCGCGTTACTTTTCAGACATTCACCCATTCACACACACACATTCATGATGGTGGTAAGCTACATTGTAGCCACAGTTGCTCTGGGGCGCACTGACAGAGGCGGGGCTGCCATGCACCAGCGCCACCAGACCCTCTGACCACCATCAGTAATAATAGTAATAATAAACTACACAAAAGTCGAAGAAAAAGTACAGAAGATTGTACGGTACCATCCACCATTATGATGCTGAAGACGAGAGGGCTATGGGATCAATCTTGTGCCATCAAATATATTATTTCATCAGTTGAAATTATTGAAGTTACATGAGTTGGTTGAATATAATATTTTACAGGTTATGTGTAAGTCTCATAAAGGTATATTGTCTTTAAACATCCAATTGAATTTTGTTAAAAGAGAAAGTTGTTATAATCTGAAAGGAAACCTGGATTTAGTACTTGGTTAAGGGAACGATGTACTTCGGTACAAGGGATAAGACCATGGAACAATCTGGAGAGTGAGGTCAAAAACGCAAGAACAATTTCGATGTTTAAGAGAATGGTTAAAGTCACTTTGTTAAAGAAATATGAAATAATATAATGTGTACATACGAAATGATGCTAAGTTAAGATTAGAGGTTGTTGTTTTTTTTTGCTTTTTGTTTTGTTAGTTTTTGTTTGAAGATCATTATTGTTTAAATTTATTTTTTTGAGAAAAAAAGCACAGATATAAGATTTTTTTTTCCTTCTTTCTGTCGCCTTTCATTTTATTTGTGATTTGTGTTTTTTTATTGTACATAGATTTTGTTGCTTTTAAAGAAATGAAATGAATAAAGAAATGAAAAAAAAAAGTACAGAAGATTGTACCGGACCATCCACCATTATGATGCTGAAGACGAGAGGGCAATGGGATACATTTTATGCCAGCAGGAATTGAACTTGAATTGCTCAGATTGAATCTGAATGTGTATAATTTGAAATTGAATGCATTGGTTTGAAAATGAATTTTATTAAATTGAAACTGAATTATTTGTATCTGAATTAATTTTCTTTGAAACTGTATTTTGGTTCACTAAAAATTCAGTTTGACTACTTTCACTTTCAGTTCCATAATTCAGATTTTTGTGTCACATCCTGGTCCTTGAGAAAGCCAGGCAGAGTAATCAAACACAGATCCACAGATTTAGGTTTCACTTTGGTGAAGTTTCCCTTCTGTAACAGAGTTGATGCAATCCACTGTAAAAGTGACAAAAACAGACAAAGTTATTTTATTGCAGTGATTAATTGGACCTATATGTAGAAAATGTTACATTTACATCACATCATGGATCAGTCAGCAGCAGCATCTGATCAATATGTGATCCATGATGTGATGTAAATGTAACATTTTTTACATATAGGTCAAATTAATCACTGCAATAAAATAACTTTGTCAAACCAATGCATTCAATTTCAAATTATGCACATTCAGATTCAATCTGAGCAATTCAAATTCAGTTCCTGCTGGCACAACATTTATCTCATATGAGGGCTAGCAACATAGAACGGCTAACGAGCAACAACAAGTAGTTGTAACTTGCTACATTGTTGTTTAGTTGAACTCGTGAAAAAAACTCATCGTTGCAAATGGTTCACGTAAAATTGATCTTATGTGTGACACGATCCCCCAGTCCCAGTCTCTGAAAGTCCCTAGAGGTGGTTCTGGAAGCTAATCTGTGTGTTTGTTTTTGTGTCCAGGTCCGAGGGTGGAGGGTCTGAGGCGGGTGGTGATTCCCAGAGATCTGACGTACAGGTTTCTCCTGCTGGCTGACTCCAACACAACGCGGGGCATCGAGACCTGTGGAGTCCTCTGTGGACGGCTGGTGAGTCTCCTGCTATCACTCACACACACACACACACACACACACACACACACACACACACACACACACACAC